AAAATTATAACCGGGGCTATTACGGGAACCACCCTGGTTCCCGATATAGCCTATAAAACGCCTAGAAAAAGACTTTACCGCCTTAGCCTGGTTAGTAACCAGGGCGCGCTTATAGGGCATATATTAGGGCTTCCTTAATAATCTATCCGCGGGGTTTAATATCCCCGGATAGTGCCGAAGCTTAAAATTAAACGGGGCGAGCTCCTTAAGCCACCGCGCGTGCTACCCCTTAAGCTTCGGCTTATCTAGTAGGTGGCGATAGTTTAGATAATCTATTGGGACTACTATAGGGCTCTGACTATAGGCTATATAATGCCGCTATATCCGAAAAGACTTAATAATAGCTATAAGTTTAGAATCGGGTATACTATAATTAAGCTTAGCGCCGCGGAGCTTATAAGATATAAACGTAATAGGTCTCTAGAGCCTATCCTTAAGCTAACTAATAACGGCCCTAATTATAAAAGCAGAAGCGCCGGGCTTAATACGTATTAGTAAAGCGGGGTTAAAATACCGTAAGACCGGTGCCTTTTAGAATAATAGCTTCATTTCCTCGAACACAGTCTAGGCCTACGGGGAAAGTACAAGGATCCTAATATACCCCCCCTTTAAATAATCTATAAAAGGGGCAGCGACCTTAGAATAGTTCTTAATAAAGCGCCTATAAAACCCCGTAAAACCTAGGAAGACCTATATCTTCTTAACACTATTAGGGAGCTCCTAGTCACGGATAGCCTTAACGCGAGCCGGATCTATACGTACCCTATCTAGGTTATAGATAAAACCGAGGAATTTAACGTCTTTAGTCTCGAACTTATACTTATCGGGGTTAGTATACAGGGACTACTGCCTAAGCTTAGTTAGGACCTCGCGGATATATACGCGGTGGGTAACTAAGTCCTTATTATAGATAAGGATATTATCGAGGTATACGACGTAAATAGTGTTAATAAGGCCTATTAGCGCCTGGTTAATATATTATTAGAAGCTCGCGGGGGCGTTAGTTAATCCGAATAGTATAATAAGGTATTCGTAGTGGCTATATTTCGTGCGGAACGCCGTTTTCTATTTATCGCCTGCCCGTATATAAAGCCGGTAGTATACGTCCTTAAGATCTAGCTTAGTATAGTACTACGCTAAAGATAAACGATCTAAGATTTTATGGATAAGGGGTAATAGGGTACAATCCTTAATAGTCACCTTATTTAGCCCCCTATAATTAATATAGAGGTGTAGCTTACCACCCTTCTTAGGAATAAACAGGATAGGGGCGCTGGCTAGACTAGTAGATAGTCTAATCCACCCTTTCGTAATAGTATCCTATAAATACTAGCATAGTACCTCTAATTTCTATACGGCGAGAGGGTAAATAGAACTATAGGGAGGCTTGCTCCCTTCCTCGATCTTAATAGCGTGGTCTTACTACTAGTGCGTTAGTAGCTGTCTAGCGTTTTCGATATTAAAAACATTAGCGAAATCTTAATACTATTCCGGTAGTATAGTAGTAGCGGGGTCCCCGTCTTCTAAGAATTTATCTCTATATCCTACTAAAGGATTTTCTACCAGGCTAATATAGCTAATATATAGGCCCCGTATAGAACCTATACGGGTTAGGGTAAGGGTAGACTTAGCTTATCTAATTTTCCTATGTAGCTCTTTTAGGGATATAACTATACTAAGCTCCACGTAGAATAAGGGATAGGTCTACGTGCTACACTACTAATTAATATTAGAGTTAATAGCTATAAGCCACGGTCTTCCTAGGATTATACGGGCGCCCTAGGGATTAAGCTATATAATATAGAACTCGGCGCGCTATACTCTCTTCCGACCCTAGTAGTCGGTGGTGGTGATAATCTTATAGAGGGACCTAAGGGTTATCTTCGTTTATTCTTCCGTAATCCAGGATATAGGGACTAGGGACCCCTTAGGAACCTAACTAGGTCCTAGGAGGGACCGATCTAAAATATTAATATCGGCGCCTCCGTTAAAGAGAGCCGATATCCGTACTTATTCCCTACCTCGGCGAAAGGAAACGCGTGCCTTTACTAGTATAGTAGTAGGGGTAGTCTAAGACGGGTATAGTTCTTAGGGCACCTCGCCCGTAACACGGCCGATTATAGGGCGAGAGGTGGATACTGGTTAGGTATTTGGGTTACTCGCGTTATTAGTTAAGCGCTATCTATAGCTAAGGTATATAATGGCGTAATACCCCTTTTTATTATAGTTAAAGTAAGTAATAGAGTTAAGGTAATAGGGGGATAGGGACGGCGACGACGGCCTAGGCCGTATAGGGTAACTAGGGGTAGGTATAGGCGTAGGCGTAGGGATAGGCGTGGGGGTATTAGTAGAACCGTAGGTGACTACCTAGGGGTTATAGCTATAGGTACGCGAGCGGAAACGATATCGTTAGGTAGTAGACTAGAAATCTATCCGAGTAACGGCTAGACTATTAGTAATAGTTAAGGCCTCGGCCCTATAGTAGGCCGGGGCTAGGTCCTAGTAGTCCTTAGGAACCCCTATAGATACTATATAGTCCTGAATAGGTAGGAGAACCCTTATCAGTACTATCTAAATCCTTTATTAGTCTAGGAGTTCGCCCGGTAATTCCAATTCTAGGGCTTCCTATCGTTATATAAATTTAGCATAAGACTCTCCCTCTCTCTAAGATAAGATAGACTCGCTCTGGATCTATACCGCTACCTCCTCTAGGCGGGTATCGTTATCGTTAACCTAATAGAATAACTAAGCCTATAGTATAGCCTAGCTAACCCTATTGGAGTCGTTATCGTACTTACATTATAATTTAGCTTGCTAGCATTCCTTAAGGTAATAGGGGAGGCATAATATAATACAGTAGTTTTTTATAGCGTCTATGGGGAAAGACTAAGAGTCTAGGTTAAACCGTTAATGTATTTCCTAGATAAACGTACGGTACTTAGCCTAGGATACATTATCCTATTTAGGTAAGGGGAAATTAAACTTAGTTTAGGTAGCGGATCCGTGTATAGAGGATATCGTGGATATATTATAGGTATACTAGGATCCTATTAGGGTTACGATAATACGGCGCTAAGGCTTAGCTATATGATAATAGGTAATATTAGCCGGGTTAGGATTAATAGCGGCGGCGGCGGTAGTAATAGCGGCGGTAGTATCCGCCTCTAGCTTAGTAAGGTACGCGAGCTTACGCTTACGGTGGTTTTATGCCTTTATCTATTTAACGCGTTTATCTAGTTATTTCTCTATTAGCGTGGCTAGGTTAATATTCGTATACGGGGGCAGGTTAGGGTTATACGCGGGTCCTGTTATGACTATAGCTTAAGGAAGGGGGATAGTGACAGGGGTAAAGGTAGTGGTAAAGGTAATACTAGCGATAGGAATTAAAGTAGTAGTAAATATAGGGATAGGTGCCGGTACGGTGGCTAGTATAGGGGCCGTGTTAGTTCCCGGCATATCCCCGTTATCTCCCTTATCGGCGTCCTCTATAAAGGCGGTTTCGCTATCGCGGAGCTATCGCTCGAACTAACTAGTAGCCTTATTAAAATCGAAGGTAGGGTTATTTATTTTATAATAGTTAGATATCTTAGTAACTCTCCTTAATAGTCTTCCCGCCCTTAAAGGGTAAAGCGATTAAAATATTAAATAAGTAGTCGTAAAGAGTGAAAAGGTAGGGTTAAGTAAGGAACTAGGTATATTCACGATAGGATTATAATAGGGTTAGAACGTGGGTATAGCTAAAGAATCAGATTAATCGCTAGCCTCCCTCTTCTAAGGGGAGGCTCCCTCGCTCCTTAAGGCTACGTTCTACTCCTTAAGGACTACTTATTTACTTCCTTGAGGGCTGCCGTATTTACTTTAAGGGACTATTCTATTTACTATATATTAACTTACTTTATTTATGCCTCGAGGGGTCTTAGACTAGGCATACCTAGATCTCTATAGGTTCACACTGGGGACCCATTATAACCACTACTGTAGACACCTGATATTAGTTTAGTATATCTAAACCCCTGTATTTTACATAGAAAAATCTCTACTCTTAATATATCTAGTTATATTCTACCCTACTCGTTATCGTGATACTATTAGTGTATTCAGGCCCTATAAGTATATATTATACGTTTTTTCAGGGGTTAGATAGTATATTATGAAACCTAGAATTTCGGGTGGTGGAGATATAGTAGATTATCTATCCAGAAAGGGGTTAAGAAGACCCGGAAGACCGAATAGGGGGTGGCGGAAGACCGGTACTCCTTACAATAGCACCACTTCGCACCTATCTGTTGGACTACCTTACTCGTTGCGTACTAGCTCTCTTATACCTCAGTCCATGAAAGAGGTAAGGTAACTTACCTTAAGGTACTCGACACCAGTTCGTCCTCTCTCAAAGTACATGTACACGTGTACTTGGTTGGATTCTCCACACCGACTCGAAAGTCCGGAGCCCGAACATCCCGAAACGGAGGAGGGGCATTTCTGTTCTTTCGCCGTTGTCGAGGGCTCCCCGTCTTTCACAAAGGGAACAGGGCTACAGTGGTGGCCTTGAAGACTAGTTACATATCTATATGAGTTGCCCAACTCGGCGCACTCTTCAACATACTCTGCTTCGCTGCAGATGTATTTCTCTGACTACCATCCGGAGCTCACATTCGTCCCTTGCCAGGGTCTCACAATCTCTATTAAGGTCGCGACCACCAAATGACCCTGCGCCGAATACGAATACATCTTCTCGACAGTTAGACCTTAAGTGCGACAACTCGAGCGCGCATCATATTCGGCATTACACGAGCCCGGGCTTCAGGGGGGACAAAACAACCGCCGCAGAACAGGAAAGTCAGTATAGCGACCGGACGTATCCCAGTCCGCTCCGCGCGCAATTCAGTCTTGTTGTTATCGCTGTCGGGGTGCTCTCCCTGTACATTGGACTGCGCCTACAGCAACATTCTACCGCACAACAACAAGCCGTAAACGTACCTCATCTTTCCACGACGCCAGACATGGCAAGCGACGTCTCTCCGGGCCGACCCGGTAATTTGACACCAGATGAGGAGGAAAAGCTGCGGCAGCTATGGAGACACGTTCTCAAGCTCTGTGGCACAACTACAGAGGGAAATGCAGTGGAGGTCACCGATGCAGTTGTTGGAGGACCATCGTCGGATGCGTCTTGGGGCAAGGTGTCTGAGAAGCCCAAGAAGAAACGCATGTCCCTCTTCAACAAGAAACAAAAAGACAAAGCCGCCGATGGTGACTCGGTTGCCTCCCCTCAGAGCTCTTCGGCAATCGCAACTCGTATCAAGGAGGCTGACGGAGAAGACAAATACGGCCAAACTCAACAATTCCTTGATGCCATTGCTAACCAGACGCCCGAAACTTTACGCGCTACAATTTGGAGCATGGTCAAGCATGACCATCCGGATGCCTTGCTCCTGCGCTTCCTAAGAGCTCGGAAATGGGATGTCGAAAAGGCGCTGGTCATGATGATCTCTACCATGAACTGGAGGTTGACGGAGATGCGCGTCGACGACGACATCATGAAGAACGGCGAAGCTGGCGCCGTGGAAGCTGAAAAGAAGGGAGAAGGTGACGCGAAAAAGCTCGGGGCGGACTTCATGGCGCAGATCCGCATGGGCAAGAGTTTCCTGCATGGCGTGGACAAGTCCGGTCGCCCTGTCTGTGTCGTGAGAGTCCGACTCCATAAGCAGGGTGAGCAATGCGAGGAGAGCCTCGAGAGATACACCGTGTACATCATTGAAACGGCGCGGATGCTTCTTTCATCTCCAATCGACACTGCTGTAAGTATCTTTTGCCACTTACTATCCTTGAAGCTTCTCAGCCGATATTAACCCTGGTGATTTGTTTATAGACAATCATATTCGATATGACGGGTTTCTCAATGGCCAATATGGTAAGTTGTGGTTGTCTTTATTGCCATTTTCTTGACAACGAGACTAATCATTTGTTTGTTTACTTAGGATTACACACCCGTGAAGTTCATGATCAAGTGCTTTGAAGCAAATTACCCCGAGTCACTGGGCGCCGTCCTTGTGCACAAGGCTCCTTGGGTCTTCCAAGGTATGTACTATTAGACCTGCCAGTCCCTCTCCCCGGGCGAGAGTTAGTCTGATGTCGTATAGGGATCTGGAAAATCATCAGGGGATGGCTTGACCCTGTTGTTGCCAGCAAAGTGCAGTTCACCAACAACATGAGGGAAATGGAACAGTTCATTGAGCCGAGTCGCATCATCACAGAACTTGATGGCCCGGAGGTCTGGAAATACCAATACGTTGAACCGATCGATGGTGAGAACGACAAAATGAAAGATACCGCCGAGCGAGACAGGCTTCTGGAGGCCCGCGAGTTGCTTGTTTCCGAGTTTGAGGAGGCAACACTACAGTGGATTAGGACGGATGAGAAAACTGACAGAGCCGGCATACAGGGGCAGAGAAACGGTCTTGCTCGGAAATTGAGGGAGGACTACTGGCGCCTGGATCCATATGTTCGGGCCCGCTCGCTCTATGATCGTACAGGTGTGATACAACCTGGTGGGAAGATCGACTTCTACCCCAAGGCGCCCTCGTCTGCGCCTGCCGCTGAAGGCACACGTCAAGTGGTGGACACGTCAGCCGATGATGTGGATTAGACTACTTTTTATTTCCACTTTTGTAGATACAACGAGGTTTTAGAATAACATGGTTGACCACGTCGACTGCGAGCTTCCTTGCTGGTAGCACCTTCCCTGTCGTCACATGCTCACGCAACGAGGTGCATGACCAAGTAGTCCACCATACCGTTCGCGTTACCTTTTTAGGCCTGTGTGCTAGACTCACACTTTGGATTTGAGGTCCTCGAAGAGAGCCTTGAGCTTCTCCATGTCGGTCTGTTGTTGCGGCCAGCCGATACCGAGGCCCTCGCTTTCGTTGGGCTTCGGGATCTGCATACAATGTCAGCGTCAGTGTCAGTGTCAGTGCGGCACGTGGTGTGAGGACGCTGTCCAATGTCCCGTCCGTAGAAGAGGAGTCGGGTACCATGTGAAAGTGAACCTAGCAACTAAGTCAGCAACTGACCTGCTGTGTGGGGGCAGGAATGTCAGCTTGGGTTTGTTTCATCTCACATGATCGACCACTTGGTGAGCAATGCGACCATTGTTCTGCAGCAGGTTGTAATCGGTCGCGCCCGTTGCCTGGACCAGCTTCTTCACCACAGGCTAAATGAGGTAGGCAATTCATGTTAGAAGACGGGGCATATCGAGGTGGATGTCTCAGACTTGCCAGAATTTCAGTCAATTGGTCATCGGGGATATCGGCTAGTTTCGCACCGTGGTGCTTGGGAATGACAAGCTTTATGTTCTCCTATGTCAGTATCTTGTCCAAGATGGAGTCTCACGGTCCCGACTCGGACAGCCTCCGTCAGGGCTTACCGCGTGCCCGCGGCTGAGGGGGTTGATATCCAGAAATGCTAGCGTCTTGTCGCTCTCGAAAAGCTTGAAGCAGGGGATTTCGCCTAATGTCGGGTAACTTTAGAATCGGATTCCACGAGTAGCTGGGCCAAAGACCTCCGAATGTGAAATGATGGACGGGTGAGGTTCGGTGTTCCCGTCATACTGGTTCGAAGGACATACCCTTCACGATCCTGCAGAAGAGGCACGAGGCGAGACTGGCCATGGTGGTTGCAGTCCGGGGGTTGGTATATAAGACGCGAGAGTAAATATCGAAGTGACCTGTACGGATGGATACTGGAGTTCAAACCGCCTTTGCCGGTAACACGTAAATGCACTTCGAGTTACGAGCGGGATATGGTTTATACGGGTTGCCGTAGGCAGCGTAGTATTTATCCTTCGGTTCATTCATTCCCTTCCCGCCGCTTAGGCCATCCAGACTCAGCTGGTGCGGGGAAAATGGACCCCAGTACCATCGTCTAGAGTTGATTGCGCGACGGAGAATTGGGCAATTCCCACGTCACAAGGTACGAGCGGTTATTGTTGGCTACCTCTACCCATGATCACTTCCACAACACGCCCATAATTATTTATAATTTACAGTACCTGTCCGTTACTCCTGTAAATTCAATACGGGTCGATTACCAGTACACATGCACTCTTAATTGGAACAAGGGCTCTCTGTCTTGCTGTTGTTCCCCCTTCCCTTTCCCATGGCTTTCGTTCCATGAAATCGACAATGCAATTGCAGCACGAAGTTATTCATACATTCGTTGCGGGGAAAAGTAATTGGGGTGAGTTGGGATGGAGCTTTCCAGAAACGTCATTAATTAGGTAAGGTAGCCACCCGTTTCGCCCCTCTGCTATGGCGAGGTACTTGAGAGTATACTTTGCTCATGGGAATGCGAAGCATCTGTTCCCCGCTTCAAATTCTCGAGACGTCACCCTCAGCCAACGGTGCTTCCCTACGTACTCTTAGCACCGTTACACCCCTTTCTCGCTGCACATCGTCACGGACCGCCGCATTTCTCCGATTTCGAAGGGCCCTGTAAAGGAATATATTCCTGGTCCTAGGGTCCTAGTCGGACGTCTGGGTATCCTTATCGGGACGCTGTCGACTGTCCTGCCGTTCCCGCCGCCATGACGAGATACAAGAGCACCCCACTATACGGAGGCGCCATCGTCTGCGACCTCCCGACCAACTTCGCGGACGTAAGGTACACACTACACGGACCCTCCTGAGATTTTTTGCGTCTGACGCCGTGCTTAGCAAACTGAGGCAAGTCCCCGACAACCAGGAGGTCTACATCGATCAAGATGGCTTCACCAGCATCATCTTTGACATCACCGAGCGCATAGGGCCAGCTGGCACAGGCCCTGAAATCGATGGCCGCGCACTGACGACACACCTGGAGGACCTAGTTGGGTCCGACATTGACACCGTCAAGGTGTGGAACACCACTGAAACTGTTTTCTCCCGCTTAGGGTCTGTCTGCCTCACTGCCCCTTGTTGCCCTGCTGCCCCCCTCTATTCCTATTCCGCCTCGGCGGAGAATTACCCTCCCATGGGCGTTTTCTGACCCGTTCACAGAGACGAAGTTCCGGCATACACTCTCATCGCGACCCAAACGCCGCGGCCGGCGCCTGGAGAGCGAACCTCTTCCCCCGATTTCACCGCCATCATTTTGACTCTCCTTCGATTAGAGAACGTGTCGTCGGATATTCTGATTACCATCAACGTGCCGCACATCAAGGGCGAATATGACGAAGACGATGTTGATCTGCAACTAGGTAAACAGGGCCAACTGATTGGCGATGCTGTTGACTATGCCGCGAGGATTTGGGAAACATTCAAGGTTAAGGACTGGGCTCTTTTCGGCGAGACCTGAGTGACTTGGGAACAACACATGCGATTCGGCGTTGGAGTGTCGGGACTCAAAGCAACCCACAGCAGTGGACAGGGACAGCACCTTTCGATTACGAGTCCTCCAAGGAGTCTCGCCGGGAATGGGGAAGGTGGTATGGGGATGTCGGTTGGAATATTATTAGGCTCTCCCATGGGCCTGTGTTGGACCGCCACGCAGATTTTCAAGGGGATGCCGATATCAAATACTCAAGTTGCGCAATTCATCAGCAACCGCCTCTACCAAGCCACTTTGCTCACTGGACATGGTGTTGCGGCTAGTCCTTTCGGCCTTCTGGGCCCATTTCTGAGCTATCAGGCGCATGAGATCCTTCTGCGGGGTGTGCGGGTTATCCTTCCTGACGATTCCCATCTGCTCCTGGACGAATAGCTGATAATCCGATTTCTTTCCGGTCACAGCACGGGGTGCTGGCTTCGTCTGTTTCAACGCCCCTTTGCAGGCGCCGCAGCGCTGGCGCTCCGGGTGAATACTCTTTGAATGTCGCTTGTACTCGGTGCCGCAATCGGTACACTCCCAGATATACCTGAAGTCAATGTCGTAGGAGTGCTTGGTCGTGACTTCGATTCCGCGGTCGTGGAACGCCCTCGATACCTTGGCCGCCCAGGCTTTGAACTCCTTGCCATGCGGGTTGGCCGTGATTCCGGTGACCATGAAATTGGCCAAGTGGCAGAACTCGTGTGCGACGACATTCAGCAACCGATGCTCATCATCAATGACCTTCTCCGAAAGCTCAATGGATGCATGATCTCGAACGGCCGTGGCGGGCTCGTGGCCGTCGGAGCCTACTGTCCTTACAGTCTCCTTCTTCCAGTGCGCGCGTCCAGCAGTGGTGTTAAGCTTGTTTGACCACCGGATGGCAACGCCCCCCGTCGAGCTGGCCAGCTCTGCAAGACGACCCTGGGTGATCACTTCATCTAGTTCTTTCAGGAATGTCGCCGCGATCTCCTGTCTTCTCTGCTCAAACGATATCCTGGCTTCCTTCTTCTTCGCCTTCGATTTGGTAGGGCTCGGCCGTACGGCTGGAAGGAAGAGCTTCTTGGGTGAATGCTCGGCGTTCCATTCATCCACAAATTCTCGGTCCCAGAACAAGTCCACGCTCGGCCCATGCGGTGTCTTCGGGGGAACGGGCAGCTTCTCTGGAGACACTAGTGTCCTCGGCCTCGACCCAGAGAGATTTTGTGGAGTCGAAGGTGGTAGGATGCCAGGCTCCTCGTGCTGTTGCTCACTGCACTCTTTTCGTTGCCCTGTCGGCTGGAGAGGGGAGGTGGATGATACTTCGGTGGCCTGATCTGTCGAAGGAATCCGATTTTCTGGCTGCTTGTTTGGTCGGTGAGTTTTAGAGTCGTTGCTCGTGGCATTTAGTCCACAAAGTCGAAGGGTGTCGTCTCTCGAGGTCGGTCTTGCTGGGTTATTTCGTTGGCTGTCGTTTGCTTTTTGAGCTGGATACCGATCAACGATGCTTCGAGGAGGTCGGGTCACAATATGCTGCTCACGAAGGGCACCACCCCAAGCGTCGTCGTCATAGTCTAGTCGTTCTGACACGTTCGTCTTCGAGCTTCGACCTATACTTCGATTGTCCGTGCTTTTTGTTATTTGGTCTTTGGCGATCTCGTTCTTGGTGGTCTCGACTTCTGCGACGGTAAATGTTGTGGCCTCCTTTGTAGCGACATCTCGACGTCGGACGCGTAAACGATCACAGCCCCCCTTTGTGACGTCTTTTCCTATGTTTGTGTTCTCTTGGCGGAAGGGCTTTAGGAGAGTGTTTTCGAAGTTCTCGCTCGTGTTCAGCTTCCTCCGCCGTATCAGTGGCCGCGCCTGGTAGGTGGTGTTCTGTGCGCCCCCGGTGCCAACTTTAGCCTCTCTTCTCCCATCCTCGGCTAGCAGCACTTCCGTAGACGGCAGAGGAGCGACACTGCCTCCCCTGGCAAAGGCCTTTGTGTTCTTATCGCGAGTATTCATGCCCCCGGACTGAGTCTTGTGTGATGATATCTCCCGAAGAACTAGCTCTAGGTCAGGGAACTCATCGTCGCTTGAGGGGTTTCCAACAGCCATGGTTTGAGTGAGTGGACGATGGATATTGAGGCACAGCAAGGTATAGCTTATAGACGTCCCCGATCACTAGAAGTAGCAGGCCTGACTAAATCCGAAGGCGATGTCCAACTAAGGTAGTTTATTCGGAGTGGTGGATTGACCGTTGGATTTTTCGGGGATTGGTAGCTCCTACTTTATTTAGGTAGTCTGTACGCGGTTGTACCGGGCAACCAAATGTTAGCTAACCCTCTGTGGTTTGGGCCTCACTATCGCTATTCTTACTACCTAAGGTACTAATCCCACATCCGCGAAAAGTACCTTGAACGCGAGGTCCTTGTCTTTCTTCCTGATCAACGGGATATTAAAGATGAGGAACATGTACGGATAATATTAGCTTTTAGAGGTCTCTGTGCATAGATAGTCAGTAGAATGTGCATTTGTTTGTTTCGAAAGACGTTGTCCTCGTATTGTATGTAGAACTGAGCACGACAGGGAGAGATACGGTGTAAAACTTAGCGGTCACAGTTTACTGTTCAGTAATAGAGAGTAACAGACCATGTCACCCGTGAGTGCCTCCAGCTCCACCGGCAGTGTAGTGAGAAGCGGTAGCGTGTGCTCGCCAAAACACGAGACGGAAACACTTATGTCTTCACTGGAGCAAGCGATCCGGCAGCAGCACGTATTTTCCCGACCACCAGTGTCAGGGGGGGGGGACTTCACGGATCTCAACGACATACCGCAGTTATTCTGGGGCTCCGATCAAGCGAGGACCTGGCGTCAGCATTATGAAGATGCCCGGATCACACAATCGACTAAGAACTTTATCTGCATGAACCACCAGCTGTGTTTCTGATTTGATCATGCAAAGTTCGCCGTGAAGCCTCTTCAACAGAGCTCAAATTAAAAAGTCGTCCAGTGGCATTGGCTGGAGAATCCCAGCCTGATGCCAAACACAGATATAGGCATCGACGTAAGACAGTCATATTTCAGCCCAAGCCGGCTTAACTGACATGAATCGGGACGCGAGGCTAGCGCACCCGAGCGTCGGTGTTTGTATTCAGACAGGGCAGACCTTTACCATTCGAGCAGAGAACCCGGGGGAAGTACCTAGCTTCGAGCTCTTGGAACTGCAGTGGAATCTCCTTCGCATTGCGGCTGTATGTGAGGTTGCGAAGGCCACCGACGAGGACTATAAGGAAGACACTGACGAAGAAGACCCGGAAAGTAAGCGATATATCGACACTGGAGCTAGACGAAGCCGCGAGCTCACGAGAACACGGCCTCGGATATACCAATCCTCTATCATGTGTATATATAATAAATATTAATTGCTGTCGCTGTCGCTGTCGCGGTCGCTGTCTCAATAGGTATATTTGGTTTCGTCTTCACCCTTGTAAAGTTCCAACCTGTGACGTACAAATAATTACGGAGTCGACGACATTTAAGATCAGGGTGTCTTTTGCCCCCGTTTAACGACCTGTCCAGGTTTGGCGCTGCTAATAACTTCCTTGTCGAATAGTCAAGGGAGATCAGAGGGAAGACTCCCCTCGGCGTACCAGGACGCAGCGCCAGGCTACTCGTGGCTGTCACCGTTCCCGCCCTCTCCTTATATCTATCATAGACAAGTCTCCATATATTCCAGGTCTCTCTCGCACAGACAGACGCCAGCGGAATAACACGAAATAATGGTGGATTTCGAAGACGTTTTTTCTTGTACACATACAACAAACACATCTCATATATTTTGGAATGATCCTGGGCCGGACTGCTATGCACGAATAACTCGGCGTGGGCGGATAAAGGTGAAAGACGCCAGTCAAGCCCCCTGGTTAGGCACTAGGTATATAGTATGTGATGTGTTCCACAAAGCAAAACCTGAACGGCGCGGCAGTCTCCAGCGGAATCGAGCAGTGCGGCAGGGACACAAGGACAGTTATATGCCACTGCA